CTCCAAACACTGCCCAAAGGCTGGAATATACAGTAGTCATATAGAATTATCATCTTAGTGCAGAAAACCGTTAAATACAACAACAAAAAACACCCAAACTTGATATGACGCACGTTCTATTATTTTATCTGGGACAACCTTAAATCACAAGTTATAAGAAATAAAACTGCTATATGTAAATGAAAGAGGAATTCTAACAAGTACATCAAAATCTCAAGGTATGTCAAAATTACAACACTTTAAATCATTTCATATTCCGGACTTTGTCAGATTTTAAAAGCAGTTTATTAATTTAACTTCAAGAATGGAGATATGCAAACAAGGCTAAAACCCAATAAAAATGTAAGAAAACGTGATTTATGAAAGTAATTTAAAGTATCTGAAAAAAGGACGCCCTGTGACACCGTGATGGCATTTATTTGTAACCTTTTCAACGTTCATTGTATAGCACTGTTGTAACAGATGTATTTATTGGAATGTATAACATATTTGATATACGAACATCATCTCAATGTAAATGAAGATAAAACGTTCATCGCGGTCAAGGTCATTAGTCTGATAGTGCCATTGGTAATGCTTCCGTTGCCAATGGTGATACAGTTAAAATGTCAAGGTCGTTTTGTTTATTAAATGGAGTATTAAAGGTAAAATAACAATAATAAAGAGTGTATTGAATAAGACACTATCAGTAAATAAACAGAAAGAAGGCATAGTTATAATAAATAGTATGAATAATGATATCAGGAAATATGAATAATAATAGTGGACAGTATGAATAATAATAACAAGAAAGAGTATGGATAATTAAAGCAGAGTGTAAAAATAATAACAACAACAACAAAGTGTATAAAAATAACAATATAGAAAATGAATAATAACAACAGAGAGAATGAAAATAACAGTAGAGAATATGAATAATAACAACATAGTATGAAAAATAATAGAAGAGAGCAATGAAAACAACAACAACAACAACAACAACAAAGAGTTCGAAAAATAACAGCAAAAAATATGAATAATAACAACAAGAAGTATAATATAGAAGAGAATAATATAATAATAACGTAGAGTGTAAATGATAACTTAAGAGAATAAGGTAATAACAACACAGCGTTTATAATAATAACAAAAGAGAGTGTGAGGAATAACATTAGAGAATAAAATAACTGCCACAAAGAGTATAAGTTATAAAGTATAAATAGTAACAAAAGAGAACAAGAGAAAGTATAAATAATTTCACAACGGAAAAAGATTATAACAATAGTGGGGAAAAAGTAGTGCAGCAGAGAGTAAAATAATAAATTAGAGAATAATAATAATAATAATAATAATAATAATAATATATAATAATAATAATAATAATAATAATGATGATGATGATGATGATGATGATGATGATAATTATAATAATGATAATAATAATAATAATAATAATAATTACAACAATTATAATAATAACAATAAAAAAGAGAGAAATAATGTAGTCTTATAAATGCCTTGAATGGATTTTATCAAAGACTGGGGTCATCGTATGTGCATAGATGACAGGTGATGTGATGTTATTATATATACATGTATACATGTATACAGCATTAGTAGAGATCTTAATAGTTCAAACTCGTATACAAAACTATTGTCAGTCTTTCAATTAAAAACCAGTACACTTTTATTCAACTGGAGTTTATAAATATTTATTAGAAAATAAGATTACGAGCCTCATCACGTGACAAAATAACCGAATAAATTATTAATATCTTGTTTCTAACAAACATTAAAACATTTAATTTAAGAGGTCGGATAGACATTTTACTCCCCTGAATAACAGATGCGAAATCAAAATACTATTGTTAAACAATGCACTCAAGTGCTTTAACAATGCACTTAATCAAAGAGCAGAGAACTGAATGCATTATAACGATCGCAGCACAGAGTTATCGAACTTTCATTAAAAAAAACAAAAACAAGCTTTGCTTAATTGTTAAGACATAAGTTGATGAAAACCTGGGTAAAGACTATAAAGTTATAACTGAAGTGTTTTATCAAAACCTAAAACGTAAAGCTGACTTAAACGATGTATAGTAATATATTTTCTGAATTTATATGTACATGAATGAAAAGGGCAAAATAATCTACATGTATATGAGTTAGTCTGAAAATGCAATCATCTTAAGTTGACTTTTTCTCCAAAAACCAAAATTTATATCAAGAGGATTTTATAGCAAACCATGAATATTATCTAAAAACATTGAACTCTTACCGAACTTCATGCAATGTCAAAGCGGAAGGTTCATTTCATGTTTTTGTTTGTTTGGTTTTATGGTTTACATAGTTTAGGTCAAATTGTGCCGAAACAGGAAAGATTATTTTTGCTACCCTTGGGTGTTACAAATTTAAAGCAACACCCTGGTCAAAAGCACCTCACCTGCTTGAGCTAAGAAATGCATAGACTCCAGTTATTTAAACCCATTTAGTTGCCTTTTGTGATCACGTAAGGCTAAAAGGTGGCTGCAGTTCTGATGCCTCAACCCGTAAAGGCACAAGCGGCCTCCATTCATGTAAAGATACGTATAACTGAGGACGATGCTTTCTCTTCGTCATATTATCTATTATATCAGATGATGTTTTAGTTTTTTCTACTTTGGCGAAAACTTAGAAGTGTGAATTATACACAAATAAACGGTTACCCATTCAAGCTTTATCAATATTAAATACTAAATTATTTAGATAGTTTAATTTCACTTGTTAGCAGTTAGTTTGCACCACTGATTACACACCAGCAACGACTATGTATACATGTAAAACAAAACTATCATAATTAATCAATGGAAACTTTGAATATTATTTCAAGACCTATTTGAATTTAGAATAATTTAAATCAGATTTTCAGTTGATAATTATTCATATTAAATACAGTACTAATTATAGAATATCTTTATGATGATAAAATACTATGTTCCTACCCGATAGAATGTATTTTATTACTTACAGGTAATGATAATGTGTCAGTTTCAACCAACAAATATGCATAACACGTTTAATGATATTTTTTTTTTTTATCTTGTTTACTGCTAGTACACAACAAATACACCGAAACATTCCCATCATTATTATATATGTGTCATACATTAAAAAGACAGGAAGAGATTCTTTCTGGAAAAAAAACACATCATTTTGTTTTCACTTAAACTGTTAATTAAAGAGAATTTACGTTAATTATTTAATCAGGGCATTCGTTTTCAAATGTACATAACCAGAAGAACGTCTGTGAAAGAAATAGAAATTAATTATTTCAAATGTATTCCTTCTTTTTGATGTACATTAGATTCGTGGATTAGAGATTATTTCTTTGGGTGCGAGGATATAATCATTTGCATCTGTAGTTAATATATGAAGAAACAACCCAACGAAATGTTCTTCTTTCCCCCCTAAATGATTAATTGTATTTAAGAGAGTAGTAATTTTTTTCTTCATTTTTTTAACACATTGGTCTGTCATGTAGTCTATGAAAATAAACAATTATTGCTCGTTTTTAGTCCAAAAAAGCTCTGTAACTGTTGGATTTTTTGTCTACTATGCTTTTAGTTTCAATTTGATTTTTTTCATCTTCACAATAATTGTTATTCTGCCAATTTATTTATAAACTTGGATGATATTGATGATGATAATGATGATGATAACGATCATGGTGATGATGTAATGCTAATGACACTTATTATCACGATAATGACGATGCCAGTTGTGACGTTACTAATAGAATTGACAGTGATAAGGTTTAACACATATATTCTTATCAATAGTTTTTAAATTCTATACATTTTACTATTTCATATTGAAGAAAAATATATATTTAAAGATAATGATGATGTTAATAATAATAGTGATGATGATGACGCTGATGATGATGATGATGTAATATACAGTATATATTTAAAGATGATGATGATGACTTTGAAAATAGTAGATGTCAAGTAATAATTATGTGAAGTTGAGCATTGTTTGAAATCACTTATAAATTTATTTGTGAATGCGATTGAAATGATGTGTTTAAAAAATTAAAGAATGTATGAACATCGATAATGTTTAGTTGGATTCATTTCAACAACTAATTTTATGCAAAAAATAAAGAAAAGTACATTTTGCAAATTTGTTTTCAATGCTGAACTGGATTGCCAGATGAACATCGAAACCTTCTTTGTATTCCCGTGTTATTTGAATATATCCTCAGAACTATTGCATTGTTTTAAACGTACGTCTCAGGCACTCTCACTTCAAATTTATATTCTTTTAAATGCTGTGTTATTACCGTTATCAAAAATCAGTTTTTGTCTTATCTGCAAAATCTGTGGACATCACGCACTGTTTATTGAGTTAAAGTGTTCTAACAAAAGTAATAAAACAGTTTTCTAGAAGTACTATAAGAATTGAATTCTAAAAGAATTTCAAATATAAAAATGATAAAGCCCTTGAATAAATGCAGGTGATTCAAAAATTCTGCATTTTTTATGATATCTGCTTTAGGAGGAAATTAGTTCCGTATATATGAGATACACAGGTGTGCATTACAAATATAAGAAAACAATGAAGCCCACAGCCTCATATCACATGACCCTTTCGTATTTTTTAAACAAAAAAATGATGATTAATTCAACAATTTTCAATAAAGGTGAACACTGATAAAAAAGTAGGATAAGTTAACAATATTGCAAGTTACTAAAGTGCATTAAATGTACTGGTACACAGTGAAGGATAAATTGACTACAACAACACGTCTGTTATATAAAAAAAACATGTTTATATACTAAAGTAAATAATCATCATACTGTACATTTTATTTTTGTTAAAGATGATACTAATTAACTTTGAATCAATAATCTAAAATTGATAATAAAAATCCAGGTTAGACAAACCGTGAAGGTAATTTGTTATTTATAAATCAATCATTGTGACACTTAAACTGACAACCGCAAATTAGGAATAATTAGATTAGATTTTCAACTTACCTTGAATTTGTGCAATCATCATACAGCACGTCAAATTCTTTGCACGAGATAAGCTTGCATCTATTTACACCGGGTTGAATAGCCCCAAGTCCTCTCAAGACTCGAACCTGTTCAACGTTACACACCACTGGAGTTATGTCTAGTCTTTTCAATTTTGTATACACTGTATGGAGTCCTCCGACCAAGTGTTTAAGAAATAATTCAAAAGCCTGTGGCAGACATATGAGTTCCCGTCCGTCAACGTTAAAGGCGGCGATCTTTGCCCCGCGATAGTTGATTAGCTTGCACACGTTGTTCTCCGGGCTGCAGGCGATCGGTGGCGGGGAGCTGTACGATACTTTATGAAGTTTACTCAGAATATCGTGACCATGACTCAACATGCTTCCGTGCATACTGGCTAAGCTTGGTCCCCGGGACACGATGGGTGTGGTCGGAGGCTCGGGACTGCTATGGCTGAGAGATGGAGAGACCCGGCTCTGAGCCATCATGGCCTGTGCCTGATTATGGAGATGCTCCATTTTTGCTAAAGCTATATCCATCATTTAGTGTCCGTGTTATTGTTCTATTTCAACAAACTTATTTATAAATATAAATATAAATAAACAAAACTATTTTAACCACTGTCATATGTTTGAATAAAGCGCACTTCAACTTCTCTGTTCACAAGTTATTTAGCTATAACCATTTGAAATAATTCTTTTTTTTTTCTTCAAAAAAAAGTTAGTTTCTATTTCACACAACACTTCTCAAATTCAGTTCAGCTCCTCTTGATATTAAATGCTAACACTAAATGTACATATGATGATTTAACGATTAACTCCGGTTAGCTTGTGCACATGGAATAAATAGAAAATCTATCTTTCTGTTACACATGCGCAGTTGAAGCTTACTGAAAAATCACCACTACCTCCTGGAAGAAATTAATTTGAATAGAGATTACTACAATCTAAACTTTTTTCATGGACTGTTATACTATTAGACCATTTTGAGAGTATCGGATTCATTTGACGCGCGTAAATAACTTTTATTTGTCAAGATATCTTGTCAAGAGGCGGAGCCGAAATTAAATTCTCGTTTACTATTCGACTTCATTTGAATCTCTCAATAAATAAATGGGCGTATTTCAACTGTATTCGAACGTGATATTTGCCGAGAGAGAGCGAGAGAGAGTTTATATTTGCAGTATATGGTAGAAGAGAAAAATTCGTATTGTTATCTATTTCTAAACTATTTGATCTTTTAGAGTTTTTAAAAAAGGTGCAAAGTAAAGAGTCGATGAATAAATGTGTTCTTTTATTTCGTTTAAACTGAAAGGTGTGTTTTCTAAACTAAATTCAAAATGAATTCCGTCAAGTTGTATATAATTGTATATTGTAAAAGAAATAATCAATTGAAAAAGAATTAATTACAATTTTCACAAACATTTTTTTCTTCGATATTTAAGTTTAGATTTGATTTTAAATGTTTTAAAAATGAAGAAAAAAAAGAAATTTGATTTTTGTTATATTTATTTCTTTAATGTTTTTTTTATTTTCTTATAATTATTTTTTGAGCGGTCTTAATACACTTATATTAACTGATGAAAATGCATGGAATAGAAGAATTATACCAGAATCGATACAAAAAAAGTTCGCTCGGTGCGATAAATCATTTAAATTAAGATATTGAGTCCACGCGACTTTCTGACATCACATTTTCAATTAAAGAAATGTGTCTATTTCTTTAATTTCTAAGCACGATAGAAATTATTCAATGCACCGTTTTCTTAGCAATCAAATAATGGAAACGCTGAAGCGAGTCAAACGGATTTTATACAGAGCTGAATGTACCTGTAAAAACTCTTCATAAAAGTTCACACCTGATCAATAAAGAACTGACTACTGCCTTAATGAACTTAACGACGCTATGCCATAACTTATTTGATCTTTTCACAAACTTTATTGCAGGAAAAATAACTTCAAAGGACAATTCTTTAAAGAAATGAAAGGAAATAACATTTCACGTAATGTTTTCGACTCACAAAAGACCTACATCAGTTTATGTCGGTGAATGTCCGAAATGAAGTTGACAATGCATTAATATATAAATTAATACATATACTTGATGTAAAACCAGGAACCCACTTCCTCTTAAATGTACTTTGATCTAATTGCTTTCAGACATTTTTTTTTATTTTCAGCTTCAATCATTTACTTATTAATGTTATATTTGGCTTGTTGATCGCTGGAATAAAATAATTCATAATTAACATAACGTACAAAATGCATCTAAAGGTTTTTCTAATCTAAAAATATTATATTAACATACTGCAATTAAATTAATTAAGTTTAAAGAGTCGTTTTTATATATATTTTACTTATTTGGATACTCTGTAGAGTGACATAATACTAACGTGGTTTTTGCAGATGTACTTGCTAAAGTAGTTGTGGCCTAGTGGTTAAGGTGTCTAGGTTACAACACAGGGACCGTCGCTTCGAGTCCTTTAAGGGTCATGTTCAGCACTGATTAGAACCAAGAAGCAGACTCGAGTGAGTAACCTTAACAATCGGGCTTGGATAAATGTGTTTAAACTTAATTAGCGATGTATTACTTAAACAATCATTAATAAAAAGTCTTGCCTAAATGTATCTGAAACTATTACACGATCATTATTTGGATCTCTGATAAAAATTAGATACCAGCAATAACGAGAAGTCAGCTTCAACACTAGCCGAGTCGTAAAAAACGAGCAAGCCGGAAAACATGCCGGAAAAAACTGCAACCCTATCTAATAAAATTACCAATGAAAGACGGGAAAGACACAAATATTTTGCAAAGAATCAACATCTGCTTCGGTCCTATCTCTGACCAGTGGTCCATTTCATTAACTGATACCGCGTGTCTGTATTTAACATGCTTTCATTATTTGTTTTTGACGTCGGGGGAATTTAAAGAGATGTTACCATTCTTAAAATTTAATGTCATAATTAAACAATACGGGCTTTAGAAATGATGGAAAATGATGGAATTATGATAAAATAAAATTCGATGCTAAAAAGAAAATGTCGTCTGATTCTAGGAGTAAAGTTACACGGGGTTCACCTAATTTGAATCACGGTGGTCGTATTAAAGGCTCGTGTTTCGTTTTTCAGTTAAAAGCGATTATTTCGAAATTCAACGATTCTTTCCACCTGAATTATAAAACATTAATTTCATTTCAGAAGTCTGAAGTTATTTGAGAATCATGATGAACAGTTAATTATAAATTTATCCAATTTCCCTAAATTGTTTTCTCTAGTCACAGTATCAAATATGAGAGTATTTTATTCTTGTATTTGGTTTAGAATTAGCAACACGCGGTTTAAGGCCAAGCATCTTCAAACTGTTACTTCTTGTCCCACTCCTGTTTTCGCGACATTGCAGAATGTTTTGATTGAAAAATTACTCCGATTAAGTAAACAGAATATGTTCTGCGCGAAATGATTTAATCAATTTTCAGGAATTTCATATTTTATTTTAGTAATTATAATTTAGCGGTCAAATTATTTCGGAATTTGTTTTAATTTCTCTCCAGCCAAAAGTAAAATAATCTTTGAATTTTGAAAATTTCCTGTTTATAAAAATGATACATTAAAGCAGCCGGCAACAAAGACTATGCTAAGGGTATATGAGGAAATACTGGCACTATAATTTCTGGTACAGAAAAGGGCTATTTTATCAATATTTACATTCTAGCGCAACCTTTTCGCTACCATGAGCATAATTCAATAATTTCGGGAATAAAAACTCAATCTCTGCACACACAAAAAAGGGGGAAAAACAACAACCAAAAAAAAAAAAAAAAAAACACAACAATAATAAAACGCATTTAGTAACTGTATACTTTAATGATGAAAAAACCTTCAACATATTTAGAAAGTATATAATTTTTATTTTATATGATAAAAAAGGGGCGCCCGTGGCCGAGTGGTGAAGGTCGTAGACCGCAGTGGGTTCGAATCCCGACAGGGACTTTGATTATTTAATGTGAGGGGGCTAGCTTACGGAATGTCGGTAGCTCTACTCAGGTTATCCACCACTCCACCAGTAAAGCTGGAAAGTCGCCATATGACCTACACTGTGTCGGTGCGACGAAAAAAACTCAAATCAAACAAACAAATATGACTTAAAAGTAGATTGTTCTACCTTTTATTACAAGAAACATAGTTTATTTGGATATATGAACAATTCATTGCAATTGTGATAACTGTTCGATATAATGCGTGTATATAAATTCAATATATATTTGCTTCTATATTGACTAATATTATTTAGCAGTAAAATCAGTATTTGCTCTCTTAAAAAGAGTTTATTTCAAATTATATTACTTCTAAACTGACATAATTACATTGTATCTGAAATGACAAGTTCATGAGTTTAAACGAACTGGATAAAGGGATGAAAATAAATAAATCATGAAAATAGTGAATTATAAATGAGAATGCATTTATGATATCTGTAAATAAACTTTACGTTCATTGTCCGACAAACGTGTCAAATCATACATAGGTAGAAAATAAAAAAGTGAGGATTTGACAAAGAGAAGACACACTGCCGCGCATCAATCCATTTGAACAATTGTTCAAAGTTAAATGGTTGAAACGCAAGAGATGAAAAAACTAACGTATTGTTCTTAATTATCGAAGTAATCAGACTTTTGTTTTCAAGAAAAGTAATGAATTTGTATTGTTTCGGAAAAATTACTTCCTGTTTATATTTACATTAACTCTTACACCGCCCAATATCTTAAATAAAGCTGCTCCTATTTCAATCTGGACAAAACCATATATAATGATTTTCAGGGAGTTGACTTGAATAGCGACCAGTGCAGACCATAAACCGTGACACATCCTTGTCGTCTGCCGCTGGTCTGCACTGGTCATCAGTTAACGCTAGATGTTAATTCATTTGACTGAAATCCTTAAACTATGTCATATTCATCGATAGCTCGGTTTGAATGGACGGTATTGGAATGTGTAAGCTTTCGTCCACGCCCCACTAGCACCGGTTTAAGCAGAATTCATCATTTTATATGAAATTATTAAATTTTGAACTTAGGAACAACCGCAAATGTGTTGTGTTCATATGGCGGTCATTAATGGCAAATTCGTGCCATTCCATGAAAAGCGGCGTATGGTGCCCTAAGAAAAGAATGCATGTCCCTTATTCAAGAAAACATGAGCGGAACAAAATAAAATGACAATTAATTTCTTTCAATTAAGACCTATTACCCCATGATAACATAATAACAGCATTTTTAACAGACAGTATTTTCATTTTAATGCACCAGTTTAAATCTGACACATTATGCAATTTTATTTCAAAGATTTAACTTTATTGGTTATGTGTTATATTTGCCATTTAAATTATAATTATATAGTATTAACTTTTAATGTTTACCATGTTTTTTCTCCCCAGAAACATATTTTTTTCTTTTCGCCTTATTTTACCCAGAATAAACAAAGGCGTCCGTCACACGGACCGATTTATAATTTAGCGCGGCCTTAATGTTGTAGGTTAAGATTACAATATTCCGAGTACTCGTAAATTGCATATCAACAAATGTATGCATAAGACAAGGGCGTAGCGCCCATTACGCACAATACGCAATTGCGTATAAAAAAATATCCGAAGGTAAAAAAAATAAAGTTGAGAAAATCTAAGTTTTAATGATTGTATCGCTATAGATCTAGATCTCCATTTTAGTTTACAAATTATTTCGTTAGACCAATCCTTTCTAAATCGTTCCTTTGAAATAGCTCTATTTTAAAACGACTTTAAATCTTGTAAGTTCGAGATCAAGATTTTAAAAATCATCAACTCGGGGCGAAATTTATTTTTTTGGTGTGTTGTTGTGTCCGCCAAATTCCATGACAAGCGACCCTGTTTATGGTCAAACAGGACCCCATTCAAGTCGATAATGAATCTGACCAGGCAGAAACAAAACAG